TCTCTAGTCAGGGAACTAGGTCCTATATGCCACAACTAAGAGTTTGCATATCACAATTAAAAAGATCCTGCCAGGGTGACACAACTAAGACCTGGTGCAAATAAATATTTTTTTTAATGAGCTATCACTATAATTCTATAGCACTATATATATTTAATGATTAAAATGCAAAACACTCAGAACACCAAATAGATGTGAAGATATCCCTCATTCACTGCTGGAGGGAATAGAATTTGGTACCCTACAAAGGAAGACAAGAGCTTTCTTTCAAAACAAAATATACTCCTACTATGTCTATCTTCCAGGCAAGAGTACTGGAGTGGGTTGCCATTTCCTTCTCCAGATGATCTTCCCCACCCAGGGATCAAACCCGGGTCTCCCGCATTGTAGGCAGACGCTTTACCGTCTAAGCCACCAGGGAAGTCACTATGTCTATTAAGACCCAACAATTGCACTCTTTGTTATTTGTCTAAATGAGGTCGACTCATATTCACACAAAAGTGAAAAGTGAAAGTGAAGTCACTCAGTTGTGTCCAACTCTTTTCCACCCCATGGATTGTAGCCCATGGAATTTTCCAGGCAAGAGTACTGGAGTGGGTTGCCATTTCCTTCTGCAGGGGATCTTCCTGACCCCAAGCTGGGATCAAAGGGATCAAAGCTGGGTCTCCTGCATTGCAGGCAGAGAGAGGCTTTACCTCTGAGCCACCAGGTATTCACAGAAAATGCATACACAAATCAAAACTGGCATGAGTTAACAGGCAAGCAACATATCCTGAAAGAGTCAAATAACCAGTGGTATATGCATAACATGTATATTCACTAACAAGAAATGAAGTAGGAAGCTACGAAAATACAGAAAGGAAAGCTCAACAGTATATTGCTACCTGAAAGAAGTCAATCTGACAAAGCAATAAACTGTGAGATTCCAAGCATATGAGGACCTTCAAGTACCTCCCTTCACAGGCTCAAAAGGGACCTTAGCCTGAAGACACTGATCTCGGGCTCTGCTCCCCACTACAGGGGCTCTCAACCACTACTGAAAACTGTAAATACACAAATCCTGTTTGGCCAACTAGAGAAAATCATTCAAATTCAGTGTTTTTTGTAGAAATGAGAGAAAATTCTAAGCCACTTCTCTCATTCACCCAGAAAACCCCAAGTATCTATTTCTTTCAGAAAAAATATATTGGACTTCCCTGGTGGCACACCAGATGAGCATCCACCTGCGAATGCAGATGATACCTGTTTGATCCTTGATCTAGGAAATCCCACATGCATGGGAGCCCATGCTCTAGCGCCCCAGATCTGCAGCTACAGAAGCCTGCATGCCCTACAGCTCATGTTCCACAACAAGAGAAGCCACTGAAACAAGAAGCCTGTGCTACACAATGAAGACTGGCCCTTGATCTCCACAACTAGAGAAAGCACTCATGCAGCAATGAAGATCTAGCACAGCCAAAAATAAATTAATACGAATAAATTTTCTTAATGAAAAAATGTCAATCATTATTTCCAAGGCAAATTTATTTACTACACAATTAATCATATTTGAACGTGACTTCCCTGGTGGCTCAGTAGTAAAGACTCCATCTGCCAATGCAGGAGATTCAGGAGACATGGGTTTGATCCCTGGGTAGGGAAGATCCCCTGGAGGAGGAAATGGCAACTCACTTCAGTATTCTTGCCTGGAAAATCCCAAGGACAGAGGAGCCTGGCAGACTATAGTCCATGGGGTCGGAAAGACTCCAACTCAAGAGAGCATGCATCCACTGTAGACACACTTGAATATTTTGTCTGCAACTCTAAATCCTAGAATGTCATTTGAAATCAACCAGAAAGAACTAAAGCGTCCAAAAGAGCATACCATAATCACTTAGGGAATGAAAAAAAGTGAAACAAAAATGCCTCACAACTCAAATGTAACACTGGAAACTTTTTTCCCCTGAAATTCACCCATCTTACCTTTTAGCAACTATTGTATACGCTCTTTCGAGCTCTGTTAATTGAGTACATCTTACACTATTAAGAAAAGAAACTTAAATAAGTGAGGAAATCTTTTGAAAGGGACTAACCCAGCGACGGGCATGATTGATCGTCTGGAAAAGTGTCCTCCCGCGCGCCCCCCCAAAATAAATACCCTTCACAAAACAAGATGTCTCTTCCCAGAAAACAAAATCGGAAGAGAACGAATTTCATACACCCACTTCCAGGTGGTTACTGTCGGCTTTTCAACCAGGTGAAATATCCACAGACCACCCCCTGACCCAAGGTAAAATGGCATTCACGACTCTGCAAATAGAATAAACAATTAATAAAATACTCAGTTTGTTTGAAATGCAGGGCAGAGACGAAGAGTTGATAGGTTATCTGAATTGGAGAGTTGAAACTGGAGGGTAGAGATCCGGAAATTTAACGATTTATTGCTAGCCCTACAAGGAGCAACAAACGAGGACTAAGCTCTTCGATTTGAGACGCAGCTTGCGGAACATTTGGAAAACTCAGAGGAAACGGGGTGCCCCTGCGCAGAAAAGAGGGGCTGGGACCTTTCACAAGACAGGTAATCCCACGACCCAAACCTGGAGTCACAAAAACCACGCACGTGGTCATCGCACAATCTGGGGGAGAAGACGGGCTGCGCAGGCAGAGCCGCGCCGAGAGGCTCCGGGACCGAAGTCCCTGCGCGAAGTGACGGAACAAACAAAACTGCCAGGGCTCCCGGCTGTGAGCCAGAGGGGACTGAGCTCCGAGCGGAATCCAGACCCCGCGTATCCGCCGACTCCCTGGGTGACGACGCGGTGCCGGGTCAAAAGATGGCGGGTTCGGATCAATCCCTGCCCGGCGTCCCTAGCCCGGGTCAGCACACTCACAATTTCCAGGCTTCTTGGGATTATCTGAGTCCCTCCCAAGGACTCCAACGACCAGATCAGATGACAGGACGACTGAAGATGAGTAACAGTGACTAGGCCGGTAAACCAGTGAGGAAAGAACAGGATGCTGGCGACTTCGCGCTGTGCAAGAACGAAAACAATTCCGTTCCTTGGGAGTGGAGGGTGGTATTTCCCCGCCCACCGGACTCAGCGGCCTCCTGGTTGGACAGATTCCAATGCCCCGCCTCTCATGCTTGAGGGACAATCTGTTGGAGATGCGCTGGGACCAGTCCCTGTCCGGCACTTTTGCTTGGTGAAAGACGTGTTTCCTAGCCTGGGTTTACCTCTACGGTGTTCTGCAGCTCTTCCTGCAATGAGATTCCTTTTTCTCAAATTTTATTATTATTTTTTAATTGGAGGATAATTGCCTTACAGTGTTGTCTTGGTTTCTGTCCTGCAACAAAGGGAATATATAGTCACCATATATGTATATTACAGTCTGCAGGGAAGCTGGAGACTATACTTTTGATGCTAAGGTTTCACAAGCCCCATTGGCACGCACTTTAGGGTCAACATAGTCCATTTAATGTAAGTAACCAAGGCACTTTAGGATGTGTGTATTTTGGCAGGAGATAAGTCCTTGTAGTTCTGGTGCTTGTATTTTGTAGGAAAAGAGAGATGGTTAATAGATAGTAAAGCTTTGGTTTATGAAATGCAAATAAGGGCATTGAAGTGAAAGTATAAAATGTCATGTGACATAATACAGAGGCTGGGGTGTGTGTATATCTTTTATTTGATAAGTGCCTCAATCAGTGAAGATGTCATTGATCACTTGTATTTCCACCACATAGTACATCTTAAACATTTCTTCAGGATCTGCATTCTTGTGTAAGAAGATGGAAGGCAGCAATATAAAAAGTCCTGCTTTCTTTGATTAACAGTAAAGATTCCCCATAGTGATAAAATACAGATATGTACAGTTCATGTGCAATTTTATAATTATTAAAAGTCATGCAGGTCAAGCAGCAACAGAATCAGACATCGAATAACAGACTGGTTCAAAATTGGGGAAGGATTATGACAGGGCTATATATTGGCCTTCAGCCTTCTTTTATGGTCCAACTCTCACAACCATACATGACTACTGGTAAAACCATAGCTGGGTGAAATGCTGCACTGGATGAATCACAAGCTGAAATCAGGGTTGCTGGGAGAAATAACAACCTCAGATATGCAGAGTGTACTGAAGATTTTAACCAAAACCATTACACAAGAAAAGACAATAAAATGCTTATAGATTGGTTAGCAAGATGTAAAAAAATTTTTTTGTTCTTGTCCATGTCATGGCATTTGGGACCTGGGTTCCCCGACCAGGGATCAAACCATGTAGTGGTAGCAAAGGATCTCAAACACTAGACGGCCAGGGAAGTCCTGATGTAAAAGCATTTCTACATCCAGGTGAGATATCTTCTATTTAGAAAAATCTAAAAAAATTCTATTGAAAATACACACACACACAACAAAACGTATTAGAACTCATTATTGAGTTCAGCAAAGTGATAGTATACAAGATAAAAATATAAAAGTTAATTGAATTTCAATACACTTGCAATTAACAATCCTTTTTTTAAACTTTTATTGTAGTATAGTTGATTTAGAATATTGTATTGATTTCAGTTATACATAAACATATACATGAATATTCATGCTGCTGCTGCTGCTAAGTCGCTTCAGTCCAGTCCAATTCTGTGCAACTCCATCGACAGCAGCCTACCAGGCTCCTCTGTCCCTGGGATTCTCCAGGCAAGACTACTGGAGTGGGTTGCCATTTCCTTCTCCAATGCATACATGCATGCCAAGTCACTTCAGTCATGTCCAACTCTGTGCAACCCATGGACAGCAGCTCACCAGGCTCCTCTGTCCATGGGATTCTCTAGGCAAGAATACTGGAGTGGGTTGCCATTTCCTTCTCCAGTGAATATTCATGTGTTAGTCGCTCAGTTGTGTCCGACTCTTTGAGACCCCATGGACTGCAGCCTACCAGGCTCCTNTCACAGTCCAACTCTCACATCCATACATGACCACTGGAAAAACCATAGCCTTGACTAGATGGACCTTTGTTGGCAAAGTAATGTCTCTGCTTTTTAATATGCTGTCTATATTGGTCATAACTTTCTTTCCAAGTTGTATACAGTAGGTATGTAGTATTTTACCTGATGAGTTCATATTTAAGGGTCTGCTTTTCTTTTCTTTCTTTCTTACCCTGCTTGGTCTTCATTGCTGCATGTGGGCTTTCTCTAGTTGTGGTGTCTGGGCTCCTCACTGCAGTAGCATCTTTTGTTGTTCAGGGGGCTCAATAGCTGTGACCCTCTGGCTCAGTGGCCCAGAGGCCTGTGGGATCTTCCCGATCTAGGGATCAAACTTGTGTTACCTGCACTGGCAGGACGACTCTTAACCACTGGACCACCAGGGACGTCCTCTGTCTTTCTTAAGAAGAAGCACAGTTCTGTGAGTTACCACACAGGCTTACATCAAGCCTTGACCCCTGGAGGACATAAGGCTTTCTTGCTCCAGTCGGCTCTGGTGTGGGCCATTGTCTCATCTGTACTTGCTCCACCTTGTAACAGAATCAAGAATCCCATTGCAGGAGGGACCCCAGAAGACTGCAGAGGTGATCCCAGGCCAGGAAATAGTTCTGTCACAAACCAAAGGTGCCAGAAGGTTGCAGGTCCCATCCCGCCTTCCGTAGCTCATCACTTAGGCGTATTGGGATCTGTCCAACCAGGAGGCCTCTGAGGCAGGTGGGCGGGGCGGCGCGCCTGAAGCGCCAAGACTTCCTTTATCCTTACCTGCGCTCCCAGGTGGTGTGTTCCCTACCCTTCTGTGTTCACGGTAGCCCTTCGGTGTCCGTTGCACTGACCAGCACTGGTCGTTGGAGACGAAGGAAGGACGCAGAAAGGTCCAGAACACGTCACAATGGTGAGTGAGCTCCCCGGGATTGGGGAGACTCGCCGAAGGCTCTGTTCGGCCCGGATCCGCGGGACCGACCTCCTTGCGGTCAACTCGGAAATCTGCGGAGTTGACTCTAATAAGAAAGCCTGGAGGTTCCAGCTTTTTGAGCTGCTGTTCGTTGGGGAGATTTTCCTGTGCCCTGAGTGGTGGTGTTGACCCCGTCAAGCGTCCGTTCTCTGTTCGGAGGACTCCGAGTTGGCTGTTTCTGAGTTGGGAGCAGGAGTATGAGAACGGAGCTCTCCTTCCAGTGGTCCTGGGTTACTGTCTGAGCTGGAACCTATCTGTGTTTAGGGTGAAGGTGTGACTGAGGTTGGTTTTACCCTGACATTAGAGCTGGATGGAGGACCGGGGGCTAGGATGAGTATACCCTGTGAATGAGGTGAGCCCAAAAGGTAGTTATTACCTTGGAGCTCTCAATGGTGGCTCAGGGAGTAAAGAATCTGCCTGCAATGCAGCAGACACAGGAGCAGCGGGTTCAATCCCTGAGTCAGGACGATCCCCTGGAGAAGGGCATGGTAACCCACTCTTAATCTTGCCTGGAGAATCCCATGGACTGAGAAGCCTGGTGGGCTGCAGTCCATGAGGTCACAAAGAGTCAGACATGACTGAAGCTACTGAACAAGCAAGCACACACACACCTTGTTTTTGGTTAGAAGCTAAGTTGTGTCGGACTCTTTTGCGACCCAGTGGACTCTGGCCTGCCAGGCTGCTTTATCCATGGGATTTCCCGGGTAAGAATACTGCATATAGAGCAGTTATTTCCGATAGAAAGGAAAAGAGAAGAGACAGGAAAATGTAGCCAGTAGGTGGTGAGATTCCAGAAGACTCACTAAAATTTCTAAGTAATTCTGGGGCTGTTGGCCCTGCATCTATTGCCAAAAAAGATCCTTGCTCTCTGGGTAATTGTGGACCAACAGCCACAGCAGAGACATCACTTTGCCTACAAAACTCTGTATAGTCAAAGCTATGGTTTTTCCAGTAGTTAGGTACAGACGTGAGAGTTGGACCATAAAGAAAGCTGAGTGCCAAAGAAGTGATGCTTTTAAATTGTGGTGCTGTAGAAGACTCTTGAGAGTCCCTTGGATTTCAAGGAGATCAAACTAGTCAATCCTAAAGGAAATTAACCCTGAATATTCATTGGAAGGACTGATTCTGAAGCTGCAGCTTCAATACTTTGGCCAGATACGAGGAGCTGACCCACTGGAAAAAATGCTTGGAAAGATTGAAGGCTAAAAGAGAAGGGGATGGCAGAGGATGAGTTGGTTGGATGGCATCATCAACTCAATGGATGAGTTTGAGCACTATCTCTGGGAGATAGAGAAGAACAAAGAAGCCTGACATGCTGCAGTCCAGGGGGTTGCAGAGTTGGACACAACTTAGTGATTGAACAACAAAACTGTAATTATCTCTATGTGTTAATGCAACCAAACTTGGGTCCACTTGCCCTGTGGGCAGTAAAGCCAGTCCATTGACACTGTGGTGATGTGAAGGGAAGTGCAGGTTGTATTGCAGGGCACCAAGGCAGGCATCCATTAAGGCATCCACAAGGTAGCTAGTGCTTAATGGGCCCTGACGCTCTGAAAGATTTTGAGAAAGGTTTTTTAAAGACAGGGTGAGGGAGGGGATTGTGGGATATGTTCATAAACATTCTTCTGATTGGTTGGTGGTGAGGTAATCTTGAATTAACATCATCAAACTTCTGTTTCCAACCAGTCTGGGGTCTACCTGTTTGTGGCCAGTATAGAGTTAACTTTTTTTTTTTTTTTTGGCTCTTCATTCTTGCATAGACTTTTCTCTACTTGTGGCAAGCCAGGGCTGCTCTCTAGTTGTGGTGTGTGGGTTTTTCATTGCAGTAGCTTCTCTTGTTCTGGAAGAGGGGCTCTAGGTTGCAAAGGAGTTGGAAGTTGTAGCACATGGACTCAGTCGTTGCAGTTCCTGAGCTCTAGAGCATAGGC